ATTGTCGATGAGTTGTGGTTCATGACCCTGAATGACTGGATTGGTCTCTCAGCAATCTACTAGAAAGGCTCCAGAAGTATGTCTATAACTATCTTTAACTTTTGCTTTCTCTCACAGAAAGGATTAAATCCTCATTTAAATAGAAGAGTCTTGAGGGCCTCATGCCACTCTAAGTATGTAGATCTTCAATAAAATGACCAAATGAGGCCACACAAAAGTTTATAATTATGAAAGAACAGAAGATAGAATTGGGTGTCCTGATTTAGTTATGTACAAGTAGAGTAGCCGCTGACAATAACAGGCCTGAGTCTCTGGAACTTGTGAATGAATGTTCCCTTTCATGGAAGACTTTGCAGGTGCAGTTAATAGTTACAGGATTGGAAGAGTGGCCTGGATCATCTAGGTGGGCCTTAAGTGCAGTCACGTGTGTCTTTTCAAGAGGGCGGCAGAAGGAGATTTACATAGACAGATGAAAAATAGGCAGCTGACTGACAGGGAAAAATAGGATATAGATATGATAGGACGTCAGGCCAGACAACGAAGTGGCATTTGTTTGTTCTGGTCATACTTTCAACTGAGTCTCCTAGAATTACTGGGCTCCTAGAATTTCAGAACACATCTTCTGAATATATAAGCCAGACAATCCAGGCTCTGGTCCCAGCTCTGATATCAACTAGCCTTGTTTATTTGTCATTTGTCTCATCAATGTGACAGAGTGCCTGGCAGAAAACTGAGGAAAGAAGGGTTTCTTTGGACTTACAGTTCCTGGGGAAACAGTCCATCATGACGAGGAAGTCACTGTGTACAGAGTCAGGAAGCAGAGAGAAATGAAATGCCGGTGCCCAGAGTACTTCCTGCTTTCTCTGTACCCCAGCCCAGGAAATGGTGCTACTTCCTGCTTTCTCTGTACCCCAGCCCAGGAAATGGTGCTACTTCCTGCTTTCTCTGTACCCCAGCCCAGGAAATGGTGCTACCAACACTAGGTGGGTCTTCCACCTCAATTAACCTAATCTAGAAAATCCCTGTCGGACACTCCCAGAGATTTATCTCCGTGGTGATTCCAAAGCCCATCAAATTGCAGTTGAGATTAACTATCACACCCTAAGTTGGGGCAAGGGCAGAGACCTCCAGATGCTCATCTTTCTAACTTTCCCAGAAGCCTCTCAGCTGTAAACTGTAGCCTCCTCATAGAAAGCCCAGTAAGATCTGAGAGCCAAATCTCTCTCCCTAGCATTTGACTATTCTTGGAGATTACATAGAAATCAAGGATATGAGATAGAAATTTGATCCCAGAAATCCAAAGTATGCTTTATTATCTTCCCTTTAAATAAAAGCTACCTGTGGAGAGTTTTAAGATTTGGAACCAATGCTGGAGGAAGGAGTCATTTCTTCAGTGGTAAGTTGTCCATTATCTAGTAAGCAGCCCCCAAACTGGGCTCATGCAAACAGCCATAAATTGAGTCCCCCCCCCCCTCTCTTTCTCTCTCTCTCTCTCTCTCTCTCTCTCTCTCTCTCTCTCTCTCTCTCTCTCTCTCTCTCACACACACACACACACACACACACACACACACACACACATACACACACACACACACACACACACACACACACACACACACACACTCACATCTCTCAAAGTAAGAGGGAGAGAGATTTGTTGGGCAGATGAACAAATTCACTGGGAGTGGAAGAGAGATGATGATAGGGCAAATGTGATCAAAATACATTATATGCATGTGCAAAATTGTCAGAAAATACGTTTGAAAGGTTTGGAAGTATATACACTCATTCACAAGTGACACTGAATTATAGCCTTGTTAAAAGTCTTAGAAAGGACTACATTGGGGGTCATGGGGAGATGGAGATGGGAATTGGGAGGGTGGGGACAGACCAGCACATCAGCACAGGAGATGGTGGCCACTTCCTGTCTTCAGTGTGCAAGGCTTTTGTGGGTTGGTTCCTTCATCCTGCCTGTGTTGGTCATCATAAAAGGGAATGTTGTCTCCTTCCTAAAGCAGACAAAACAATGAAAATTACTCAATGTATTAAGCTTTGTATTTGGAAATAAGTTGTGGAATAATTACAAAAAGTATAAAGAGTTCACATGTTCTATTCCTCCACATTCCCAAAATTTTAGCATTTAACAAGACTTATTATCTTTTCACACACATGTTTTCTCAGCACACATTTCTAAAATTAAGACAAGTTTCTTATATAATCACAGTATAATTTTCAAATTTATAAAATTGACATTTGTTCCAATGTCAATATGCAATTTAGATGTCATGTTAAACTTTCCCAAATTGTTGCAATAAATGTGCTAAATAGGAAAGGGGAAATTACCCACAATATAGAAAACATAGCATTTAGCTGACATGTGTCTTTAGTGTCCTTTAATTTGGAACCATTCCTTAGTTATTAATATAGTGCCTTTTATGACCTTATTGTTAAAATAATTTATGACAATTATTTTATGTGTTTGTAAGTGTGTGTGTGTGTGTGTGTGTGTGTGTGTGTGTGTGTGTGTGTGTGTGTGTATCACACGACAACTTGTGAGGGTTAGTTCTCTCTTTCCACCTTGTGGGTTCCGGGGAAGGAATCAGATCATCGTCCGGCTTGGTGACCAAGTGCCTTAACCAGATGGACCATTTTGCCAGCCCAACTTTGCCATCTTTTAAGAATATAGGACAGTTCTCTGTAGAGTGTTCCTCAGTTGGATTATAATTTGATGTTTTACCTAATTTTTCCTTTTGATCACATTTAGAGTGTATATCCTGGACATGGATTCAGGTTGTGTATCCTGGGCATGGTTCAGGTTGTGCATCTTGGCCATGGATTCAGACTCTGCATTCTGGGCAGGAATACCAAGAGAGCTGTGTGGTGATATTGTGTCCCCCAATTTTTTGTGCACCTTAAGAAATTTATCTGGGGTCAGAGAACAGAACAGCCACTAGATAGACATAAAGGCCAGAAAATGGTGGCACACACACCTTTAATCCTAGCTTTCTGGAGGCAGAGATCCATCCAGATCTCTGTGAGTTCAAAGCCACACTGAAAACAGCCAGGCATGGTGACACATGCTTTTAATCCCAGGAAGTGATGGCAGGAAGCAGAAAGGTATATAAGGCGTGAGGACCAGAAATAGAGCTGGTTAAGCTTTTAGGCTTTTGAGCTACAGTTCAGCTGAGACCCATTCTGGATGAGGACTCAGAGGCTTCCAGTCTGAGGAAACAGGATCAATCAGCTGAGGAATTGGTGAGGTGAGGTAGCTGTGGCTTGTTCTGCTTCTCTGATCTTCCAGCATTCACCCCAATACCTGGCTCTGGGTTTGATTTTATTAATAAGACCTTTTAAGATTCGTGCTACAGAGCTGCTGGGTCATCTCAGAGCTTCCTACCCGATGCTCACTTGGTCCTGAGGTTGGGGATATTGTCTATATTCATCATGCCAGCCATCTCCCTGGGTTTCCGGTTTCTCTACTTTCAGGGAATGATCCTGTCTTGTGACTAGTAAGCGTCCCATGAGGACATGCACTGTAACCATTTACATATCCTGTGTGTCACCACTCTTTAGCCTGTAGTTTTAATAATCATTTTAGGATTCTTACCTGAATTGTTATGGCTGTTAGTTTCCAAGTGATAATTTTCCTGCTTCACTTATCCATTGAGATTCCACACTGTTGGCTTTCTGATGACTCTTTTTTTAAGATGGAAGGTGGCTGGACAAATCTAAATGGATAGGAAATAAAAACCCACCACCCTCCTCTCCTCAGTCCCAGAGTCCAGGTACTTCAGTGGTTTATTCATATATACTCCACACTGTGGAGATCCACACTTATCCATAGTTGTTCTGAAGGTCATTTGGGTTTTGGTGACGAAATTCCTAGCCCTCTGTAAGCATCTTGCTCCCACAGGTTTACCTCACAATTCATCTCATAGAAGCTTGGTTTCAGTCTCTCTAGGCCTCCTCCCAATCTCTCTCTCTCTCTCTCTGTCTCTCTCTCTCTGTCTCTCTGTCTCTGTCTGTCTGTCTGTCTCTCTCTCTCTCTCTCTCTCTCTCTCTCACACACACACACACACACACACACACACACACACGGGACTTACAGATGAGAAATATAAAATGTGAGGGATGGACTTCTAAAGGTCTTGACTCAGGCAATACAACTGTGTGTATGTGGGGAGGGGGGAGTTGTTTGTTTGTTTTGTCCTGTCTTTGTTTTTGCTTTTTTTTTTTTTATCAGATTGTTAGAGAAATTTGGACTCTGGCTGCCTATTTGCTAATGTGAATTAGCTTATTTTTTTAATTTTTTTTTATTTTATGTACATTGGTGTTTTGTCTACATGTATGTCTATGTGAGAGAGTCTGATCCCATGGAACAGGGGTTACAGACAGTTGTGAGCTTCCATGTGGTTGCTGGGAATTGAACCCTGGTCCTCTGGAAGAGCAGCCAGTGCTCCTAACTGCTGAGCCAGATCTCCAGTCCCCAGTGAATTAGTTATTTTTAATGCTGATAGTGGTGGTCACCCTTTTGGAAGTCACATCGTATGAATACTTCCTGAAGTGTTTACAGATGAGATTGTGTAGTGTCTAGAATTTGATCACAAATAGTCTGTTGGACAGAAAGTAGGCAGTGCCATCCACAAAAAAAAAAAAAAGACTTGTTATATGAGCTGATAATGCCTGGTGTTGTCTGTCAAGTAAGAGGGTTTAGTAGTATACTGTTTCCATAGGAAAGGCACTCCAGGGCATGGTCATCTCAAGTCACCTGCTTCTCTTTCATGACTCCATCAAGTTTGAAGTAGAATCTCCTAGCTGTGAAAAGGAAATTTTTCACATGTTTCACCCTGTTTTTCATTTTTTTTCCTTTAAACAAATACATGGAATAATTTGAGCATGAATATAGTAAGCCCTAAAAAGAGCATGTCTCCTCCAGTTAGAATGTGTGTTGGTCCTTGTATCCCAGCAGCTGGTTGCTAACTGTTCTTCCTTCTGACCAGGTCAGTGAAGGGCTGATCCTATACCAGCATGTGGATCTCGAGAACACAGGGTGGGCATCAGAAGACTCCTTCACATTCACAGCATCCTCCCCTCCTGCAGCATTGGGTCCAGAGGATTTCCGGATTACCATTTCATATGAAGCCAACGAGTCGGGCCGACAAAGCCGGCTGCTTGCAAATACAGGTACTGCCTCTGTTAATCCCACTGGTTGAGAATAAGACCACTACCACAATTTAAAGCCAAATTTGAAGCAAGCCTTAATTAAATACTGGCCAGGTGGATAGGCCAGGTCCTTACCTAGGTTCCTGGGAAATGGCCCTGAATCAGGTTTTGCAAGGGCTTAAGAAGGAAAACCCATAATTCATTGCATTTCCCATCAGGTCCAATCAGGGGTAAGAATACATCCTGACATATTTCCTGTCTAGGTACCTCCCACCCACATGTGATCAAGCACATCCGGTACAGATGGGTCAAACAAACTTGTTTAGGGGAGTGAAAACATGGCTTGTTATTCTCATAAATAATAACCTCCAGCATTTCAGGCACTATGTGTCCTTGGGCAAGGGGCTTGCAGATGAGAGGCGTTTTTGTTTCATGGCTCTCTAAGGCACAGTCATTAAAACTTAAGATGTCACTTGGGCTCTCACACCACCAATTGTCTGTTGTAGAAGAGAGAAAATAATCTTGGTGTCAATGCCATGATATCGCCCTCTTCAGTAAGACGGACACAGTTACAACCACTGTTAGCTACCCTACATGCCCCCATGTGTTTCCTGTCATGGGCCTAAAGGTGAGGAATGGGTGTGGCTTTAAAGGATCTCTTTATACCTCCAAATGGGAGCTTTATCCTGCCCATGACTGAAAGTTGTTGGTAAAAATGAAAACAATGAATGGAAAAGAATTAGTGAAAGCTGGGCCTGTCTCCATAGCAAGAGAAATTCAGGAAATGAACATCTTATAAATGAACGTACAGGTTTTAAAGCTTGCTGGCCTGGAAATGTTGACTTAATGGTTGTTTGCATTTGTTTCCCAATCGTTCTCCTCCCCGTGCTCTGCTCCAGCCATTCCCCCCTCCTCAGTCTTTCCCACCTCTGCCTTCCTGACACATGTGTGTTATCCTCTCCACTTCCCGTCTCCCTTCAGGTGATGCCTCTTGTACTCTCATGACCTCCAAATGCACAAGCACACACACACACACACACACACACACACATGCATGCATGCACGCACTCATAAATCTTGATTTTTTTCAAGTAAGAGAAAACATGGGACATTTGTCTTTCCAACTTTCACTTATTTAATCTAACAAAATCATCTCCAAGTGCATTCGTTTTCCCAAAAATGTCATGATTCCTTTTTTTCTTTATGGCGGTGTAGGATTCCACTGTATATCTGTACACATATATGTACCATATTTTCTTTACCATTGATCTGTTAATGGACATCCAGCCTGATCTTACATCCCGTCTACTGTGAATAATGCAACAGTAAATATAGATGTGCAGCTATCTCTGTGGGATGCTGACTAAGAGCTCTTTGACTCTGCACCCAAGAATGTAGAGTTAGATGATGGTTCTATTTTTGGTGTTTTGAGGGACCTCTGTTTGGCTTCCATAGATGCGTTTATGCTAAAGTTTTATTTTGCGTATGCTAATTCAGGTGCTTGAGCAACCTGGGTCTTTAGAATAATCCACTGAGAGGTGTGCTTGGGAGAGAAAGCTTTCTGACCTTCACCTGCAATGTCTGATTAAATGTCTCTTTGTTCTTTAACTGTTCCAACAGGAGCCTCTGTAAAGGAGGGAGGTGAAGTTCTCATTGACCAATCTAAGTTAGATGCTTCCAACCTCTTACTTCAACTACCCCAACCTCAGAGGTCTTCCCACGAAATCTGGTTCCAGGTTACAGCTCTTCCTTGCCATGGAACCATTATGGTTGGAGACAGAAACATCACCACAGGAAAACCCTACTTCTCCCAGCATATAGTTAATGCATTTGGAGTCACGTATCTTCATGATGACTCTGAATCATTGGCTGATAATTTTACCTTCGCCGTTTGGCCAAACCCAAAGAACAAGTCCACTAGCAAGCCAGAGGCTGACTTTCTGGAAGAGATGTTTAACATTACCATCAACCCTGTGAATGATCAGCCTCCAGAATTAAAGACCAAAGGGCTTCGGTTGACAGTTCTCCAGGGCAGTAGGTTGGTTGTGGGACCTGAAATCCTAAAAGTAGACGATCTAGACAGTCCTCCAAATGAAATCCGATACGTGATCATCCGTCATCCCAACAATGGCTTTTTGGCAATGGCTCACGATCTGGACACCACTGTTCAGCACTTTACACAAGCTGACATCAATAATGCTCAGGTGTGGTTCATCCAAGATGGAAGTCCGTCCTCAGGAGTGTTTTATTTTAGTGTGACTGACGGTGAACATCGCCCTCTCTACAAGCTCTTCCACCTCGATGTCATCCCCATCACCATCACTCTGGTGAACCTCACAGACCTGCTCCTCCCACAAGGCCAGACCACCGCCTCCATCACCAATGCTCACCTTTCTGCAGTGACCAATGGAAGGAGCCTGCAGATTGTCTACAGGATGACACAACCCCTCCAAAGTGGCCACTTGCTGATTGGAAACCAGGTGGTCACCAGCTTTGGACAGGAGGATTTGGACTCGGGAAGACTGTCTTACCACATGACCAACCTCACCGCCTCCGGAGATCAGCTGCGGGTCTCCCTGTTTACGGCGGAGAGTAACTTGACAGAGCGGACGCTGGGCATCAGAGTGCAGCCTTTACTGCGGGTTACACAGCACCTGAAAGTGGCCAACGGGGTGGCCCGTCAGCTGCAGCGAGAGGACCTTGACGCCACCGAGCTAGCTAGCAAGACAAACAGTGACCCCACATTTGAGGTGACACGACCTCCCACCCACGGACGACTGGTCCGAAGAGCAGTGGGCAGCCCTGTGATGGAAGAGATCACTCGCTTCACCCAGAGGGACATCAACCGAGGTGAGCTGGTGCTTGAGCCGTGTGCTAATCTAACAGGCACGGACGGACTGAATGACTCCTTCACCTTCTTGCTCAGCGCAGACCGTGTGCAGCCAGCAACAGGTTATCTGGCCTTTACCATAGTGCCACCAGACCCCTTCCCTTTACAGACATCTACACCACATGTGCCTTTATTCATCACTGGAGAGAGCCTCGTGGCCTCAGTTTTCTTTCAGAAGAAACTTATGGCTTCTGTTATAACACAGACGGAAACTCCAGGGAATCTGACCCAGATCAGATGGCGGGGGACTGATTCCTGGGGACAGCTCAATGGCAAAGAACCAGAAGGAGATGGCAAGGTCTTCGCCACCGAGGTCATTTGGCCACATGCTGCCACCAAAGCCGTACCTGGGGAAGCCATACAGCCCAGAGACAGCGGTTATCCTCTGATGGTCATCATACCCTTGGGTGCTGTTTTCCTCCTCCTGGTGGTGACCGTGGTGGCCCTGTGTGTCTGGCTGCTGAGCCGAAAGGAGGAGAAGGCTAACCCTCTTCTGCAGCCCCAGAGGAACCTTGAATCCCCATCTCCCAGCGGCAGAGCGGAGAGGAGTGGAGCTATTCCCACCGTCACTGTGACTCCCCTGATGAGGAGCGCCAGCAGCCCGACTCCCAGTCTGTTCCTGCCCCCACGGTGGTATGATCAGATGGCCTCTCCGGGGACTGAACCTGTAGAGAAATGTGCTCCTTGGGAGGCGTGGGTGAACCTGGATCCTGACATGGCCAAGCTCTGTCGACAAACCAACCCAGCACTGAAACAGAACCAGTACTGGGTATAAATGGGATCCGCCCCCACCCGCTCTTCCATCTCTCTCTTCCACTCCTCCCTCTCATCTACTTTCTCTCCCTCCTTCTCCCTCTCTCTTTCCCCCATCTCTCTCTCTCTCTTCCTGTCTCCTCTCCTCCCTCTTCCATATTTGTCTTTCCTTGCTCGTATTGACCACTCACTGCGTACAGGTACTAAGATCGGGACTGGACTATAATGATGAAGGAATGAATGCTGACTGAACAGGAAGGCCACCCTAACTACACAGTCGCTGTCTGGTGCCTTGGCGAGTGCTCTGACAGCACTCCTCGGCTTTCCACAGTGGGCGTGTTTCTGGACCTGCCATTCTCAATGCATATGCCTCTGTTAAGAATTACACTCCTCACCAAGGTACTACTGAGCATCTGGGTTCGACAGGAAGCAGAAGCATTAACTTGGGGCGTGGAGTTCAAGGGGGAAGAGTTGGTGACTTTTCGTGGTCACTCTTGGTGAGTCAGCAGGAAGTGCCAGTTCTGTCTCCACAGAAGATGTCATTTATTACATCAGTGAGTCTATTTATGTAATCTTGATGTGTCATCTTCTCCTCTGTGGAGCCTTCCTCATGCCTTGTTCAGATCGCAGGGCAGTCTGACCGCCTTTGAGGATAGTCACTGAGCACTTCATCAAGAAACTTGGTCATTCTGATGTAGAAAGTCAAGAAATATTATTTGAAGCCCTGTGGGATACAAAAGTGTGCTAAAAGCTTTAAAATTTTTTTTGATGCCTTAGTTTGGCATCTTTTTATAATAAATTGAAATAATGACAAATATGTAATTGTCTTCTTGAACCATGGACAACATTTCTGTCACTATAAAATGAAGCTTTAACACTTATATTAAGACTGCCTTGAGCTGCGGAATACAGCGCCCCCACAAGTGGTTTGGACCGAGGCAGGCAAAGGTTTTCTGCGAAGAGGAACATGGTAAAGATTTTAGGTGTGTGGATCACACATGGTCCCTGCCATTTGTTTTTCGATTGTTCATCCCTCTTAAAACGAAGTTGGTTTTAAGAAAATGTAAAGAAAGTGTTGGGTCCAGACCACCAAAGTTTATTAAACCAGAAGCAAACTTTATTCCAGAAAAATAAAAAAAATTATAAAGCACCGCAGGGCACAAAAGCTTATCAGCTAGCTGAGACCACAGCCAATGTTGGAATTCTGGGGCTGTGGCCATGAAGGTGGATACTGGCCCCCTTTTATAGTATCAGGCATGGGGTACATGCTAGGAGTCACGGAGAAACATCGGGCATGGGATGCGTGCTAGGAGTCACAGAGACACATCTATTAAAAGTTAACTTTAGTCCAGACAGTTGTTGGCTATAAGGGGCAAGGGGGTTAAAAGTTGACCCCTGGCTGCTGGCAGAGGAGCTGGCTGTAAAGCAGAGAGCCATGGTTAGCAGTTAACCTTCAGAGCTGATGACTGTCAGTTTTCAGTTCTCAAGCTCATAATTTTATATTTTTATATTCCTGGACCCTTCAGAAAGAAATTCTTAGCTCTTGAATTTGGCCTCCAAGACTATGTAGTTGGCCAGCCTTAGGTTTAGGCAAAAGAAGTATATTGAATTACGTCAGGTAGTGAACCTTCTGGAGGTTGGCATTCCAAAGCAGGCTCTGGCACTCACATTATTATCAAGGCCAGAAGCTCTTTTGTCCCCTCTGCTCTGCCGTCCTCCAGCTCTTGGTGATTGTGAGATGTCAACTGCAGAGCCCAGCAGAGTGAACATGTTCAAGGCAGAATCACACAGCACATGGCTTCTTGTTAGATTCATTCTGTTTGTATTATTTGTTTTATCATAAGGAGCATTTCTCCCCATTTTACTTGCTTTTATGTCTTGCTGTCTAAACCAGGCAGCATCCTTTCTAGTCTCCGCCAACCATCAAAAGAGGGAATGGAGTCTCATGACTGATGACCTCTCCTGAGGTCACTGATCTGCCCAAGTGGATTTAGAGAAGGATGAAGGGATGACTATTAGGGAGAGGGTGATAGGGCCTATTAAAATACTTTTCAGGTATTGCAATCCTTGGGACACCAAGATCCTGGTTTTTCAAATGGGCACCCGCCACATTTTCATGTTTAATGATTTTCTTAAAGCTGGAGCCCATGTTTCAGAGATAAGAATACCAGTTTTAGGACAAAAGCCCTGGGTCTGGGAGTCTCAACAGACAAAGCTCAGCCACTTGTCCCAGTACACTGAATAAAGAGGTAAATAGAGCTGGGTGTGGTGGTACATGCCTGCAGTCCTAGCACTTGGGAGGCAGAGGCAGGAGGATCACTGTAGTTTTGAGGCCAGCTTAGGCTACATGGCAAGTTCTAGGCCAGCTTGTGATATAAAGGGAGAATAACACCAATCAAGCAAACAACAACAAAGCAACCAAAAACAAACAGTAGACAGATGAGACAGAGAAAGATTTAGGCAGCATGGCCGCACTGGGAAGAATGGATTGTTATGTGATATTTCTGACAATAAAGCTTCCTTTGAATCAGAGGGCGGAGCTAGTCCCTAGCTGACCAAAATTAACCAGAGGTTTCGGAGGACTGAGGACAGATAGAGAGAAAGTAGTAAGGCAAGGCTTAGAGAAGATCTCAGTCCTTTTGAATGGAGGAACAGAGGCAATAGGAGGCCACTGGTCACTCCTCTGCTGCTTCTCTGATCATTCAGGTTCCCATATCTGACTCCCGATTTTTTGTTGATAAAGAATAATTAGATAACACATTAACAGATAAAGGGGATGGGTGACACCCATCCCCAAGTCTATCTTTATGGTTTAAACAGGAAGAATTGAGGCAGGTAACAAGAAGTCTGTAGTCTTGCTTGAGGGTGGTCTGGTTGGACGTTATCTCAGAACTGGTTCTGCAAACGGATTCCAGGACATCCTTATTGCTAGAGGGACCATCTGGTTCCGGGGTGAGGTGATTACTGTCATGGAATGTTCTGTCAGCCGAGGCCTGCTGTTCCGGGAATGCAAGGGGACTGCAGGTTTAAGGCAGCAGCTGGAGACTTTGAGGCACCTTCTGTGAGTCTGGAAAAGGACGTTGTGAAAAGCTGATTGCATGGTTCCCCCAGGGTTTGATCTCTGTATGTTTAAGGCCAGCCGGGACTACATACTGAGACCCCATCTAAACAATATATCCTAGTTCTCTTTGTGTGCCTCCAGCCTTGAAGGGGAGGGAGATCGGGAAAGCATCACTGGCATTTGGACACTGTTTGAGTGGCCAGCATGCCTATGTGCAGAATTAAGCAGGAATCTGACCCACCCATGGTTTTAAGATAAAGAGCAGATGCCAAATGAAGGAAGCAGGGAGATGGTGGCATACCTGTTCTACTTTGTATTACCTGTGAGCCCAAGGGAGGGGTCAGCACTCTTTAGAAAAGTGATTTCTGAGTCCCTGTTATAGGAAGATGGGGCTGTGTGAGGGGAGAGGGACTTCCCAGGACACTGGACAATGGTTGCAGAGGAGGCTGCTTTTTGAGTTTAATCGGTAGAGGCCAAGGATGCTGCCACAGCCAACATTCCAACAAACGCTTGCCCTAGACGAAGAATCACCTGGGTCCAGTCCCAGGTGTAAGTATTGGTGAGGCTGAGGAATGCCAGGGGAGCCAGCATGAAGCAGCATCCTCTGTACCTGAGGAAGGATTCATAGACTCATTACTAAATCTAGGCAAAAAGTACGTCCTGAAAACAGAATGGAGGGCTGAGTTTGAAACTCCTGCGAATAGCCTGCATGGACCTTATTTTTAAAAAGGATACATTAAAAACACAACCCAACAGCCAGATCATTTCCATTCATTATTTGTTTAAGGAAAATATTATACCTTCTGTCAACAGATAGAACACGTCCAGGGGACAAAGTCACAAGGTAAAGGTGAGGTCGAAGTGCGCCCAGAACCTGTGACATCTGCTGTACTTTTTATGGAAAATGCTTTTGGTCTCATCTTCCCTCTGTTCCTCAAAGGGTCGCTTCCCTCCCAGCCCAATTTTAATTGCTCTTTTGGAAGCAATTTCACAGTCTACAGACCAGGCCGCAGCTCGGCACATTTGGGCATAGGGACAACCACGTGTGTCTTAGTTCTAGCCTGCCGTTTATCACGGGCCATGAACACTAATGTCACTGTAGCTGTTAGGGTCAGAGCCTGGGCCCTGGCGGTCCTAACAAGTAGGGCTGTTCCACCTGCCCTCAATAAGCCAATTAAAGACACAAAGTAATAGCAAGAAAACAGAAAAAGATGTATTCAATGTGGCCACGTTGGGAAAGGAAACAAGGTCCAGTAACACTACCAGTCATCTTCTAGGTTCTGACATGAGATATAGGCTTAAACAGAAGCCACGAGCTACCACCCAGCATTCATACACACACACTCACACACACCATAGTTTATGGTACCTCTCTCTCCTGCAATTGGTCTGACAGGTTTTGAGAACTATAAGAAATCTCTGGGAGGGATGCTCCCCCCTGGGAGGGATGCTCCTCTCTGTGAGGGATGCTTCCCACTTAGAGGGTTGCTCTCCTCTGGCTGATGCCAGAATTCAGCCTTTTCTTTTTCCTAGCATGAGCTTCCTGGATAAATGTCCATTTGCTGGGGATATGGTGTTGAAAGGGAGGGGCACAAATGTCTCCTTACAATAGCTATTCCTGCCAGGGCTGTTCGTTACATTAATGCCAAGGAACACTTCTCTACTCTCCTTCCAAAAGTGCTTCCCTCCCGGGTTCCCATATTCCTCACTCATAAACTGCTTCTTCCTAGCGTTTTTTGTATGCGGAAGAAGGAAGCTTAAGAATCTTCATCCAGGGTCGATCTAGCTGTAACTCAGAATTGTTCTTAGCTCCAGTCTAACCCAAGCACTCAGAGCCGCATGCAGCACACACAAGGCAGAGATGCTCAGGACCATCTGCATCCGTTAGGTGGGTTTCTCTCCCCCTTGACTGGTCAATGCCTGCTCTTTGTAGACGAGCCAGATGTCCCTGGCTAGCCCAGCCTGTTGGCCGCTGCTTTGCTTGGGCCATAAGCTCTTTGCCGCTAGGATTGCCAGCCTGGCCAAATGCAGAGTCTGCTCCTCAACCCGTTTTCCTGCTAATCTTGCCATTCCAAACAAAGACAGTCCAGGTCCATGTTGGAAAGGGGTACAGCGATGCTTCATGCAATAGCCCCCATCCTTGTTAGCAGCTAGGCCTGCCAGAGCGGGGCCGGTGTGAGATCCACATGTCAAAGCTCACTGATGAGTCAAATAATTAATGCAGAGTTTGGAAAGTTTTCTCTGCCCTTCCAGAGGCTCTGGAACAGTCTGGTTTGCAGATGGAGTCAATTAAAAGGAAACAATGTCTACCATTTGGTGCTGGCTCAAAGAAAGCATAAAATAATTTTTTTTTGGCAAAGCCTTGTTCAGCATTGAAAGTTGAAGTTCTGGGAATGGGAAATCAGTTGAAACGGCTCCCCCCACAGGAGGGCTATAACTGAATAATCTCAACGCTGCCACAATGAGTGTGATACTTCTCAAAAAGCTCCTGGGAAGTTAGTAAATATATATACCGAAGGCCAATAGCAGAAGAATGTCTGATTTCTGCTTGACAGGCTATTATGGGATGGGATGGGAGTGGAAGGCTTTTCCTAGTTTTTCTATCTTTTTATTTTGCTTCTCTTCACCCCATAACCCACCCCTATCCCAGCTCAAACTCCCACAAATATCTTTTCATAACAAGAGTCTGATGGATTCTAACCAACAGGGGTCCCTCTTCAAACACCCAGATGCATGTCCTTATAGGATGGCATTAATTAGGTGGGGTTGGAAGGTGGCCCTCCCTCTGGTTCTTCAGGTTTCCGGAGCTGAAATACACACATTTGGAAGTGGTGGAAGACGACGTTGTGTATCAGGCCGTAGCCCCTAATTTCAGAGTGGGAATGGGCCGCACTCCTCTCTGGTCTTTTGGAATTATTGTGATTAAAGTGAGGTTCAGTTCTGCACAAGAGTTGTGGGGATCGAAGTGGGCCTGGAGGCCACTGTGACATGCTGACGGTCGTGTCCTTTGGTAAAGATGCTCTCTGAGAGCACTTTGGGCTAGTTCATACACACCTGGAGGCTTCCTTCCACAGAGATCCACTGACATTATTAGGCACCTGATGCGTATGAGACATTGCTAGATTCCCCTGGACTGAATGCTAGATGCTGTCCTGCATGCAGCTGTTTGTGACTGTCTTTTCTTTCTTTTTTTTATTTTTTTTGTTTTTCTTCCTTTTTATTTATTCTTTGTGTCTTTCACATCATGCATCTCCATCCCATTCATTTCCCGTCACTTCATATCCACCTTTTGCCCTTGCAACCTCCCCACCAAAAATAAAATAAAGTAAAATTTAAGAGGAAAATGAAAAAAAGAGAGAGAGAAGGAAAAGTCAGTCTCATCATGGAAGCTGTAGCGTGACACAGTGAGTCACACAATAAACCCTTTTATCCATATATCTTTACTTGTAAGTGTTCATTGCAAAGAGTCATTGGTCTAGTTCGAGGGCCCTGGTTTCTGCTACACTCTTGATGCTGGGCCCTCATTGGAACTCTTCTTGGCTATCCTGCTGTTGTTGCCCTGTGTTGTGGAGATCCGGCAGCTTTGGGTCCCCTCACATGCTCCAGCAGATCACAGATGGGGTGGGTGTTGGGTTGGACCAACTCATAACCCTGGTTCTGGGCCTGGGTAGTTGCAGCTTTGGTCAGCCCACCAGCTCTCCCCCGTCCTCACTACCAGGGTGAGCTCTCCTGCATTGCCCTGTCAAGTTCACCCCTTGCAGTGATGAGCAAGGGGTGGGGCCATTTCTCCAGCTTTCACACCCTCAGGGTCAGTTCTCCCACACCTATGCCTTCAGGGCCAGCTCTACTGTGTTGCCCCGTGGAGGTACAAGGGTCACTCTCCTGAGTACTACAGCTGTTCGGTGATTTTTAAGAACCACAGGGGCATGCCAGGATACAAGAGAAGATGGGGAAATGGGACAACAAGACACTGAGCTTAGGGAAAGGTGGGGGGATCCCACTTGAAGTGCTCAAAGGTGCTTCGATGCCCAAGGACTTGTCACCCTACATTCAGCAGGGCGACAGGGCTATCATTTTCGGTTTTGTCGTGCCTTTAATGATTTGGGTAGCAGTGTAATGGTAGCTTTGCAGCATTTGGAAGTGTTCTAGTTCATGGACCAGTTTGGGAAGCTCTGGCTTCGGTGATTTCTAAAGGTCTACTAGAATTCTGCCGTAAACCCATTTGGGCCAGGCCTGGACCTTTTTTGGTTGAGTACTTTTTTATTGCTGTCAATTTGTTCCTTATGATGGATCTGCTTGGGGTTTGTATCCCTTCTTGGTTTCACTTTGGTATGTCATGTATATATTATGAAATTCCTCCATTTCTTTTAGATTTTTCAATTTAGTAGAATAAAGGTGTCCTTACAACCTTCTGTGTTGCATTGACATCTGTGTGTACCTTCCGTCTCTTATTTTATTGATTTGAGTCTTCCGTCTCTTTTGGTTAGTTTGGTTAGGGATTTGTCAATCTTGTTAATCTTTTCAAAGAACCAACTCTTTGTTTCATTGATTCTTTGTCTTTTTTATTTATTTGTTTCTATTTCATTAACCAGCCCTGATTTTGATGATCTCTTCCCATATCCTGTTTTGTTCTTGTTTTTCCCAGGCTTCCAGGTATGTAATTAAGTTATTGATTGAGTAGTCTTCAAGTTTTTGATGTGGGCACTTGGCATTATAACTGTTCCTCTCTAGACTGCATTTACTGTACTCCATAGACTTTGGTATGCTGTGTTTTTATTTTCATTCAATTCTAGGAATTTTTAAATATCCTTCTTGATTTCTTCCTTGACGCAATTATCTTTAAGTAATGTGGTTTTAAATTTCCATGTGTTTGTATATTTTCTGTAGTTTCTTTTGACAGCTAGCTTCATTCCATTGTGGTCAGATAGAATGTGAGATATTGTTTCAGTTTTCCAGCTTAGGGTCAGGAGTTTGAAAGGACCACATAGAGAACTTAAGTGTTTCCTATTCGTCTGAGGGTAACAGGATCATCTAAGGGGTAGGTAAGAGATGGACTGAGTGTTTGATGTGCTGGTGTATGGTGAACAGGAAGCCAGAGCTTCTGATGAGTGTGCCCTGTGGACAAGATGTGGATCTAGAGGCCAAGTTAGCATGTGATCATGTTAGGCCCCATCTAAAAGGATATCCAAAGGGGCGTAGAGACCTATGACCTAGGCACAGAAAAACCAATGGACTTGCTAGATTCCTCAAAGGTGAGCAAAAGAAAGTGGCCAGGCAGAAAAGAGTTGTACTTGCCCTACCAAGAGAACACGCATCCACACAGAATTTATGGATGGAAGATGACCATGGTTTCAGAAGAGCCATTAAGGCTTGTAGATAGTCAGCCTTAAGTATCTCAAAAAGGAAGTCACAGTATCTAAGCCGGGGTCAGCACCAACCAGGAAACAACTTTTCTGTTCCCCAATCTACCAGTCCTGAAGGAGCTGAAGCCATGCTGAGCTGGGAAGGGGTGTAACAAGGAGAGACTTGCCCTTCTTGACTTCAGGCCCAAACTATATGGTGGTGGTGATTGGGCAGGGGGAGGAGGGAGTCCTTGAGCTTGAAGGAAAATTTGAAATTAAGGCTGGATACTTTAAGGCTAACCTCACATTGTTAATTAAGCAACCCTAAAAGTGTATTCCACATGTGACCAGAAAACTTGTAAGTGTTAAAAACTCTGACCCTGACAGCAACAGCTTGCAGAGCTGATTGAAGGCAATAGGAAACAAAAATGAAGTCTGTTTGCACGCCATGGCCTGCCTTTTCCAACATGATGTTTACATGCAGCAATCATTTCTGTTTGTCGGAACCCTGCCTCTTCTACAGGGATGAGGACCAGATGCCATTGTCGTGTTTTTAAATTGTACTTTATCATCACAAAACCAATCTATTTTCAATCTCTTTCCTCTGAGATGTCCAGTCTGGCTGTCCAGTTAGAGACTGCCTTGTTCACCACTTTGGACATTTATCCTTCTTTTTGACACAGCCTTGGAAGCACCTTCCTATGTTTGGGGAATCCCTCCTTTTCCAGGCACAGCCCACTCTCCTGAGTACTACAGCTGTTTGGTGATTTTTAAGAACCACGGGGGCATGCCAGGATACAAGAGAAGATAAAAATCAAGTGCCTGGTTCCAGCCTCCTTCCAGCCAATGTGCAAGATGGTCCTGAATGCAGAAGCCTGTGACAGGTAGAAACAGGAGATGTCCGCAGTCTGTTTTGGTGACAAGTAGCAGTACCGCAGTACCAGAAGTTACATCAAGTTTCCAGAGGTGGGAATGGCATAGGCTGGTGCCTGGGTATGGAAAGGGATGCCTGCAATGATTGCAGCCATCTTGGATGGACCAGTTCTGTAGGGTGGATTGAACAATGGTTCTGGCCTCCATAGCATCCAAGACTAGCTCTCTAATGCTTGTAGAGATTAAATGAGCTCCACAGAAGTCCTTAGAAATAATTTCAAATTGCTACAGCTTCAAATACACCATTACAACTTGGTCTAAGATAGCATGTTATATAATTACGATAAAGTTATTAAAAACAATACACTCACCCTATCATTGGTACAACATTACTATCTAACTGTGCCCGTTATTTGAATTTCACCAATTTTCTCATCAATGACCCTTTTCTATTTCAAGATTGAACTCAAGACACCATGTTGTTGTGGTTTCTGTTTCTCCTTAGTCATCCCATCTCTTTCCACATTTTAAACAAAAAGTGCTGGTCAGTTGTTTTGTACAATGGCCCTTGGTCTGGACTTTCTCTTTGTTGGACTGGAGATAACGGATTTGAGGAGGAAATACCACAGACACCTAGTGTCCTCGTTGCATGATACTGGGTAAATAACCCCCAAGTGACCTACAGCAATGTTAACTAGTTGATTAAAGTGCTATTTCCCAGGCCTATCCACTTTGAAGTTATTATTCACTCCCCACCCCCACCCTTGTTTCGACGCTGGTTGTTACAGGAGTTTGCTGAGTCCAGTCTGTTTAAGGGGAGTGGAATTAGTTTCTGCCTTCCTGGAGGGGGACATGTATAATTTGGAAATTTTCCTGAAAAAAAAAAAAAAAAAGAATTCCTGTCTCCTCTATTTATTATGCGGTCCTCAGCATAGCGTAAGAAAAGGACATTTGTTGACCAAGGGGGGAAAAAAATTGCAATTGAGTTTCTTAGAACACGGACTAGTAGGAAACATAACTCGAATGGCAGGCCCTGAAGAGGTACTGGAGACCAAGGCCTGAGCCCTCATGTGAGAAACGTGAATGACTGTGGTGGGCTGTACTCCCTTGCCAGAGGACTGGTTTCTGCCACAAGGTTCTTCATTTTAAAGGGGTTCCTCATAGCCTGACAGGGCTGATGCCTCTGGTGGCCTGGGCGTCTTCTACAGGCCTCTGTAGAACTCAGGGCAGAACACCATGGATGTTCCACAATCGAAGGTCACTGGGACCAAATTCTTAGACAGAAACTCATTTTCTCAGCCCGGACTTCTGCTTCCTTCTTTCTGGACCAATTGTCCGCTTGTGTCCATCAGTGTGGCCAGGAGTGGGGTGGAGTTACTTCTTCCCTCCTTAACAGGATTCTAGGGAGGAGTCAGCTCCGCCAAGAGGGAGGACCGCATGATGACGCTGCAGAGTGCTCCTCCCATACTTTCTCTTCCTTGTCCCGGAGAAAACATGTTGTTCCTGAAATAGCATCAGAGACTGCATTTGTGTCAAAGCGCCCACATGGATTCCTCTGCTCAGCATGAGGGCCCCTCTTCATTTTCTGGGGTCTTGGCGTTGCTTTCTAAAATGTGTAAAGCAGGTAAGGTAGAGCTGCTCCACTCACAATTTGGTCATGGGCTTACGTCACCCTTTCCCTGCCTCCCTGTTGCCCGAGAGGCTGCCCAGATCTCCCTCAGAATATGGCTTTAGGGAGGTGGACCAGGTACATAGTTTACTTTTCTAGGCTTCAGTTTCCAAGATGAAGAGCAAAGTCAGTGCTTCGGTATCTACGTTAGCTTCCTCTCCAAGATTACACTGAGGGTCGCTGGCAAATTCAGATTCCCTGACCCAGACCTTCACAAAGATGAATATGGCGGCAGGAAACAAGATATGCCCCAACTGGGTAGTTGAGGCACACTGAATAACAGATTTGGCAGAGATGTGAGCAGAGCCGGGGAAAGGATGGCTTGGTGTCATGTGGGCTGTTGTGACCCCTCTGTCAGAGAGAAGAAAGGAAGACTTGCTCCTGGAGCCCAGGGAGATGATCACCTGATGGGAGCTGTGGCCTTCAAAGATACAGGCAGCCAATCTCAGAGGGCAGTGTGAGGGGGATTAGGGTACTGATACTCTCATTTTGCCCTCCCTTCTGGTTCCCCACAACCCTCCCTGCCCAGGGCTTTCACTAATTGACTCGATCCAGAAGTCAGAAGGTGGCTGCCTCGGATTCTGTCCACTGCAAGCAGTACCTAGGGAAGGTGCCGGGTGGAAAGTGGGTAATTCGGCTGGGCATACAGGAGAAGTCCAGTACAAGATGGCAGCCTTGTAGCTGAGGGGCCTGACCCTCTTAGCTGACTCTTTCACTTCATCCCCCTGCAGCCTCCTCATCTGTTACCCCAAGCAGCTCCAGCATCCTTTTAGTCTGACACAGACAGAAGGAACCTTCGCTTATCACTATGTAAACCAAGAGGGGCCCATTTTGGCCTGCACTTTACACTGTTTAGGAGAAAGACTCGAGCCTTTTCTCCTGCCTTTCTTGGGTTTTCTTCCAGGTCTGGAAGCCCAGAATGCATCTCACAGTCCCTCCATTCGATCTCTGGGGGTCCTGCTTTTCCTCAGTGGTCTTTGGGGAGCAGCTCCTGATGGGCACAGGAAAGCCCCCCACAGTTTTTGTGTGCATATGCAATGGGGGGAAAAGTCCCACTTCGCTTTCTGTAGGTGAGGTTCTGTAGTGGGTAGCTGTTCTGTCTTTGACCTGGAAGTACTACCCCTAGTGTGGCGCTGGTAACTGCCACACTTACCTATGACCTGCCCCTGGGGCAGGGAGCCCTTAAACCCGAGGTCTGGATGTGCCAGCTCTCTTGGTTCCTCATGATCCTGGATGCTGGATGGTGAACCAGAGCCAGAGAACACGACTGGACTGCACCTCACCTCTCCTGGATCCTGTAACCAACCCCCTTACTGGCTGTAAGTTACCCCCAAATAAACCTCTTTTTTAACTACGTGGAGTTGCCTTGTTAAATCCCCACATTAAGGTCAATTCTTCATGGAAGTGATTTCTTCTTTGAGGCCGCTATTGCCACGGTCAATTGGAAACGAGGAAGCTGCGCTCAGAAATGTCTTCTGAGCTTTGGAATGGAATTGGAAACCACACCTCGGCTTCAACCAAAACATGCAGGGAGCTGGAAC